TTAGATGTTGGAAGAAATATATGTGGCTTGGTATCTCCTTCACATCAACATATGCATCTTTTTCCCATCTACTCCGGAGATTTCTAAATCATCCTTCCATCTTCCTTTCCCTCTCTCTGCAGCAGGCACTTGAATTATTTGGGCAGAGTCTGACTGCACAGGAAACCAGTATAATCAGGGCTCTTACAACCTGCTGTCTGCAAATCCTATAGAATTGTCAGCAAACAGACATCCAGAATAAAATACAGCTTCCTGCAGCCCATGAAGCCCAAAGGGCTTTGAAAACTAGACTTGGGATGCAATTTATCCACCACTGAGATTCAGCTGTAATCCAGAGTGGAACACAACCTTTCCATCCATATTTAACTACAGCACACAGCCCCCTGGAGAAAAGTGAGGAAGAATCCAACAGAAGCCATAGGAAGGTTTTAGGGAGACTGAATTTTCTGCCTTGGAACTGAAATTAGGTCAGGGCATCCACCAAGTTGGACACGATGATGCTTGTAGGTGCCTTCCAACTCAGAATATTCCATGATTCCATGACTCTACCATCAGCCACAGACCAATAGAAAGAGGGCACAGCATCTCCATCCTGTTGATGGTGTCCCTGAAGCACAGCTGGATTGAACAGCTGGGTACCACAAGTTACCAGCCAGGAGAGGAGGAAGACATGAACACCCTGTGTTGTCCTTAAATTCAGTGGGGCCCAAATTTCGCCCCACAGTTACACCCATGTGCAAAGAAAGATGGAATAGCACTTCAGAAAAGGACCAATTCTTGAACCTCAGGCATCTGAGCCCAGCAGCTCAGTACTCACAGAACTCAGGGAGGGTAGAGCTAGGCAGAGATGTTTGCTCCAGTGAAATCTATTTCAGCTCTTCCTTAAGCAGTTGGCACTGAGGTGACAGCAGAGGCCTGGTGCAGTGAGGTGTCCTGCAACCACATCCACCATGACACACTATTTAGGAATAAAAATGAGCATCATTAATTTCTCCAGAGCAGGTAGTTTTATCTTTTCCAGAGAAGAGCAACCACACAAGGAACTTGGAATTGCTTGAGGAGAAAAATGCATTTTTGCTATCTTAGCCACATACAGACAAGCCCAACTCTCACTGAGGAGAGACCTATGGAGAGAAAAGGGGAGCAGGAGATGCTGGACACAAGTTCCCCCATGCACAGCCCACTGCTGAGGCAGCTCTGAACAGGAAGCAGGGCTGAGGATTGTCTCAGAGCTGTGACAGCCCCAGCAAGCATCAGCAAGAAGCCCCAGGTGAACAAAGTTCCTGAAAGCTCTTAAAAATCACCTCAGCCTTCAGAAGGAGAGCACAACACAATCCTCCCCTACAGAGACCTGCCCATCACACCTCTCACCAGCACAAAGCAGGTTTTTCACTCTATCCATCTGATGCTTTCAATAGCCAGAGGAGCTGGGTCTGGAAAAGCTCACCTTCATGAGGCCCAGTGCTCATTAATAAGAAAAAAAAAGACCAACCAAAGCAACTCAACCCCACACACTTGAGGGGTAGCCATCAGCAATTCCCTGTCACCACAAGAGAAATCCTTGTGTATGAGCCCCGGGAGCTCAGCCCAGGTCTGCTTCTGTTCAACCTTTCCATTAATAGTTTGAACAAAGAAGAGAAAGCACTTTTATAAAACCTGAAAGGATGCCCAGGAGTTAAGAGATGGAGGCACTCTGGAGGTCATGATCGGAATTGATAAACTGAAGAAAAGTTCCCAAAACACCAACAAATCAATAGAAAGAAAAGCAAGGAAAACAATGCAAAGAAGTGTACTTGGAAACAGCACAAACAGAGATCAAGCACACAAACAGAGTCCAGGGGAAAGTTCTCCAGACAGAGGGAACCTGGGGAAAACTGGGGACCAGACTAAATGTGCCAGCACTGTGACACCACAGCTCCAAAGAGCTGAACTCCCCTCTGTGATCCAGAAACATAAAATACCCAGTTCTGGGCTCTGTGCTGGTATCAGCTCTGAGGTACACACAGACCAGAGGGTCTGGGCAGCCAGCAGAGCAGTCAGCAGTATAAAACATGCTGCCCTATACCAGCTGTGGAGGGGTTTCTCCATCCCTGCTCCCTCCAGGGCCAGTCCCAGCTCTCCGATTTTAACAGGGTTTACTCACAAGGAAAACCAGCCACAGGACTCCCCACTCTGTGAAGGCAAGACACAAACTGGCTGCTCAGTTTGCTGCAAGGACAAGTTAGATGGGCTGTCAGGCTCTGAGAGTGGGATTCCATCAAGGCCCAGAGGGAACTGGGCCCTGTCCAGATCTGCACTACCATCCACCACTGCCCAGCCTGGAGCCAAGCATCTCTCCCCTGGCTCAGGACAGGGGCAGGGACAAAGAGGCTGTTCCAGCCCTGTATTTCCTTTTCGCATCCTCCATCTGGCTACTCCTGCAGCAGTGACAAAGCCAAATGAACAGCCTTCTCTTCCCCAAAATACAACAGAACTCCTCATCCTGCTGAGGGGCACCCACACAACACAGAGCCAGCACTGCTGTGACCGTTTCCATTCACACCTTCCTTATCCCTCACTAACAGAGCTCATCAAACTTCATTTGCCACCTGCTGCTGCAGCAGAGAAGCCAGCAGGGAATGGGATGCTGCCCTGGGGGAGGGCACGGTTTCCCAGCTTCCCTCCTCCCCTTCCACCCCACTGACCTCTGCAATGCCTGAAGCCCACAGGGGCCATCACCCAGCCCTGCCCACCCCAGACACCTTAATTTGAGGGGACAGTTGTTAAAAGCCATTGCCACAAGGTGTTACAAAGCAGGTGACACCAGAACACAGCTGCACCAAACCCAACCAGCAGCTTGGGAGAAACCCAGCGAGGGGGCAAAAGCTACAAATCTCATGCAAAAGCAGGGCTTAGCTCTCAGGAACGTTTCACATTTCCCAAAGACTCAGAGGGATTTGGGGTTTTGCTGAGCTGCCTCGTGAACCACAGCCAGAATGGATCTCACGGTGAGCAGGCGCCGTCTCCCTTGGCAGGGCTGCTTCCCAGAGATCCCCAGCCTTGTGTCACTTCCCACTGCAGGTGCTAAGAATATCTGCGTGCTCATAAAAAATAGCAACCAGCTATTGAGAACTTATCAACAAAGTGCTCGACAAATCTTAATTAAAGCTGATTCACCTCCCCCACGAGCCTGAGTGGAGCATTATTTCTCAGAGGAGAACACTGGGTGTAAGAGCTGAGGTGGGTTACAAAAGCCACGGAGGGAGTCAGTAGCACAGAGGATTAGCACATGGAAAGGCTGACTATTATCCCTAAATTTATCCAAATAATCCACTGCCTCACAAATTCTCAAGGTATGGCTGCTGTGCATTCAACCCCATCTGCTCAACCCAAGCAGAAGCAGAGACAGCTGTGGGGGTGCTGGAGTTTGCCAGGTGTTTTATTGCTCAGGCTAAAGGAATTCTCCACTGTAAAAATGAAGAAGGTGGTGGCAGTAGCACCAGCCCTGCTCTTGTGCTGCTTCAGGACACAGGGACAACACTGTGGGTTCAAAGGCTGTTGTGACAGTTCACCAGGAATTGTTTCCAGCTGATTTCTTACCAAGAATCATATTTGTATCCTTTCAAATTTAGTAAATACATGGTCACACAGACAGCAGCCTCCAGGAACTTGCAACACTGCTCTCCCACCTCTGGTAGCTGGACTCCTACACTGAAGTTTCTGGGACAGCATTTTGGATACTTCCACCACAGAAATACCCTAGAGGCTGCTGAAAAACTAAGTGGATCAGGCTGGGTCATTTTAAGGCAGGATTAGGGGAAAGAAAAGACAGAAACTTAGAAGTGCATCCCTTAACAGTGCTACTCCCAGAGAACAAATGAATTCAAATGATCACAGGGAGCAGGAGCACTGCGGCAGCACGTTGGGTAAATGACAGGGCATGTCACCATCTTCTAACATCCTCTGGACACTTATCTGCACTTAAAAGGCTCCTGCCAGGCTGTGCACGGACCAGCCTCTTCCACAGACAGCTCCACCACAGAAATGCCTCTGCTGATCACCCTCCTTTGGCAGGCACACTGAGCAGCACCAGCGCAGGCAGCTCTGCCTCTGCGCTGCACTCAGACAGGGTTAGTTCTAGCAAAGAAACACTGCAGAATAAATAACTTAAGAAATTGTGTCTATAGAGCTTGGTGTAAACCCAGACCCTCCTGAAGGTGGGCAGCATCAGAGCTCTGTCAAAGCTCACTCTTAATGCAAGTGTTAGTCAACCACTGAACTTAAACATTTTAAGGCAACTTTCCAAACAGTGTTGATATACAAAATCCCATTTGCTCAGCATTCTCCTTCCTGGCCTTGTGGAATGCATCGTTTCACCAGTTCTCCTGCCAGAAAACCATATGCGGGCTTGTACCAAAACAATTAAACCAGTTTTAAAATTCAGACCTCGTGTTACAGAGCGCACACCCTGAAGAAACATCCATTTTAATATCCCAGAGCTACTTCAATTTTTCCAGCACGTTTTTATTCCACAGCAGCCTGGGCACACAGTAGGCCAGAGGTCACGCAGCCTCGTGCTCCAGGCAGGATCCAAACTGTGCCCGTTGGGGGAAACTCACGTGTAAGATTTTTGTTTAAAAGCCCTGAGTGTAAGGGTCCCCTGCCCTGCTCCGACTGTGTGCCTAAGTGCCCCTCACAGGGCACGCGTTTGCTACAGCACTCCAACCGCACAGGCTGCCCGTCCTGCCGGGCCTGCCGAGCCTCCGGGGCCGCACACACAGCGTCCCCAACGGCCCGGCCACAGCCAATGAGGGGAACCGGGCCGGCGGGCAGCCTCCACCCGGCAAGGCCTTACCGCCGGGTCCGCTCGCACGAGGGCAAAGCAGGGAGGCAGCAGTGGGTACCCCCGGGCCGGGACCAGGGCTCCATACCGGATCGCAGATCCCCGACCCGGAGCTACACCCCGGCCCTCATGGGCCGCCACCACCACTGCCCCCTGCTACCCCCCCACCCCGACTCACCGCTCCGCACTGCGCACGCGCCGCCCGGCCCCAGCCGCCCCGCCCCGGCCCCGCTCTAGCCAATTAACGCCGTCCTTGCACGAGCTCCTGCCATTGGCCCCGCCTCTGGCCCCGCCCTACTCACTCAGCACGGCCCCACTCTTGGCCACACCCCCTGACCCGTGCCTGTCTGTCAGCACCGCCCTTGTTCCCGCCCCCTGGTCCTGGCCCCTCCCCCTGATCCTGGCCCCGCCTGTGCCCTGTGAGGCGGCGGTGGCGGGGCTGTCTTGGCCCCGCCGTGTCCCGGACTAGATTCGCTGGCCTGAGCCTGAGCCTGAGCCTGAGCCTGAGCCGTGTCCCGGGCCGATCTGAGCCATGTCCCGGGCTGAGCCTGAGCCGTGTCCCGGGCCGATCTGAGCCACGTCGTGGGCTGAGCCTGAGCCATGTCCCGGGCTGAGCCTGAGCCGTGTCTCGGGCCGTTCTGAGCCGTGTCCCGGGCCGATCTGAGCCATGTCCCGGGCTGAGCCTGAGCCTGAGCCGTGTCCCGGGCCGATCTGAGCCGTGTCCCGGGCCGATCTGAGCCATGTCCCGGGCTGGGTTAGCCGGGCTGAGCCGTGTCGGCTGCCCTGGGCTGCGGGAGCCTCCCTGGCTGTGGGAACGGCCCGGGAGCAACGCCATCCTGGAGCAGCCGTGTCCCGGGCAGCAACGCCATCCTGGAGGATCTGTCCCTCAGGAGTGAATGCCTGCTTTGGCGCGCCTCTGTGCATCGTGTTAGGTTGGACTAATGGAGGAATTTCTCCGTGGAAAGGGTGGTCCGGCCTTGGCAGGGGCTGCCCAGGGAGGTGTTGGAGTCTCCCCCCTGCACATGTCCAAGGAAGGGCTGGAGGTGGCACCCAGTGCTCTGGGCTGGTGACAAGGTGGGAATATCTGGGATGGATGCCTGGGATCAGGAGGGAATATTTGCAATGATCTGGAGATATTGGCTTTACACATCACATCATCCCTGCCACAGGCTGCTTCAGCACCCCCTTTATTTTTCACAGGTTTTGAGGAAGGTAGTGAGGTTTCAGGTAAACACAAGGGTGTAAATTCTCAGTCTTGGCACCCCTGGTTGATGCTGAAATGAGGTGACAAAGTCAGAGAAGGCACAGGGAGCTCACTGGTCCCCTCACCTCATTCACTCAAAGCACTCTGCTGATTAAAATCATGCCAAAGCATTTCCCACCCCTCTCCCAACTGCAACTGAGTGATGGCATTGCAGAGATGATGGAAAATCAGCCACGAGCTGTGCAGCCCTCCCTGGTGAGGGCTGGGCTGTGGCTGAGGAACAGGCCATGGGATCCATTGCACAGCAGCCAAAACCAACGTGCCAGCCCCAAAATTAAACCTGCAATGCTTAATCATCTAGTGAAAGATGCTCAGTGACATCAGGGGACCTGTCCCTGGGCCACTGTCCCCACGGCTCTGCTCACCCATGCTGTGTTTCACTGCTGGCACCCACAGAGATCCTGGAGGCAGGAGATTGACTGTAAGCAAATCTCAGCTCTCCTTGCCAGTAATTGAATATTTTCAATCTTTCCAGGTTGGTTGTAAACATCTCAGAAACATAATCTGGAATCAAATCCCTCAAAGCCTGTCAGGAGTGCACCAGAGCTTTATAGATGTTTATGATTTTTGTTGAGGTTTATAGTTTCTCAGGCAGCTACGTGATTGCTGCCTGGGTGTAACTCCTGGCTTTTGGATGGGGGAAGTACTGCTGTACTTCATCCTCTTCCTCCTCCTTTTGGGCTCCACACACCAAGCCAAGGCTGGCAGCCAGGCAGGACTGGTCTCTCTGCTTGCAGCCCAGGAGCCAAATGTCAGCTGGGGCACTGAGAAGGGGATTTTCCCCCTGCTTGTCTCAGGCTGCTGCACACCAGGCACTTTGGGAAGCCTCACTGAGATGCTCAGTCCATCCAGAGAGGAGCACTGCTGCATCCCTGGGCAATCCCAACCAAATCCCACATCTGAAACTGCTCCCACATCTAAGAGATAAGAAAATACACTCTGCATGTATTACCTTCTGCATCTGGAGTTCCTCTCTCTGGTCTGATGGGATGAAGGGCTTTTTCAAAAGGTATTAGAGAAGATGGGTGTGAGAGAGTAATTTGGGACTGGGAGTAATTTTTCATCAGTATACTTAAAGACAATCACAGCACTAGGAGGGAGGCCTAATTGTGGAGTTGTGTAATTAGTTTTTATGTCACTGCAATTATTCTGTTGGCTACATATAAAGAACATGGGAAAATGCAGCACTTAATTTTAAATCAAGACTTGATTCTCTTTTAGTAGGTAATTGATGTTGATCACATCACTTAGCAGCAACTATAAAATGTGCTATTTAGATTGCAAAAGGATGGAGAAAAGGACTGAGCAGATAGGTAATTGATGAATCGCGGGCAGCGTTGGTGGGAGGCAGCAGGAATCCCTCAGCTGCCTCTGCCTGCAGCTGCTCCTGGGCTTCCTTAGTGCCCAGGGCTTTAACAGGCACTGAGCCCCTGTCCCAATCCCACAGCATTGCTCTGTCCTGGACAGCAGTGGAACAGGGCAGCTGCTTTTCATGGAATTGATCCCTCCTGGGAAAACCCCCTCCTTTAAGGAATCCAGATCTTCTTCCTGGAATTGATCCCTCCTGGTTAAACCCCTTCCTTTAAGCAATCCAAGTTTTCTTTGTGGAATTGATCCCTCCTTGTTAAACCCCTTCCTTTGAGCAATCCAGATTTTCTTCATGGAGTTGATCCTTCCTGGTTAAACCCCTTCCTTTAAGCAATCCAAGTTTTCTTTGTGGAATTGATCCCTCCTGGTTAAACCCCTTCATTTAAGGAATCCAGATTTTCTTCATGGAGTTGGTGCTTCCTGGCTAAACCCCTTCCTTTAAGCAATCCAAGTTTTCTTTGTGGAATTGATCCCTCCTTGTTAAACCCCTTCCTTTGAGCAATCCAGATTTTCTTCATGGAGTTGATCCTTCCTGGTTAAACCCCTTCCTTTAAGCAATCCAGATTTTCTTCATGGAGTTGGTGCTTCCTGGCTAAACCCCTTCCTTTAAGGAATCCAGATGTTCCTCTGGCAAAGGTGTGTGAGTTTGCTCCCAGGACTGCCATATGCTCGTCTGGAGCCACCAGGCTCCTCTCCTCTCAAGGCTGTTTGGCTTCTCCAGTGACTCAGTTGTGGCAATGTGTCCCAAATTTGGTCACAACAGCTAAACACTCCCAGATACATAACTGGACATTTAAGTCCACAAGCAAAATTAAGTCCCAGGGTGCCAATGCTGTGAAGCCTCACAGTGCTGCCCTTGACAGGTAACTTAGTTTTTGGTGATGGGCTCATACTAAAAGTACCTGCAAGTAGTTTTGGTTGGGGGAAGACCCAGAGACAAGGCCCACAGCAAGGCACAGGCATCCAGAGGGTTCAGTTGCCCTTTTCTCTCTGCAAGGATGCCAGGATGAGCATGAGAGGTGTCTCTTCTGGGTACAAAGCAAACTCCACAGGCTACAGGAGACTCTTGAAGTCACATTTCCAGGTGGCAGGTCCAGGCTTTGCACTTGCACCAAAACAGATGGATTTGTGGCCAGACAAGCCACTGCATAGAGTCCTACCAGGATTTTTAAGTGAAACACTTTTCCCCTTCAGCCTTTCCTTCCCCTGAACCTTTTTTGTGTGCTGTAGCAAAATATGAGATGGAATTTGGGCTCCAGTGGGTGTAATTGCTGAACAGCCTGCCCTGGCCAGCCTCACCGCTGCCAGAGCGCTGCCCACAGCCACTTTCCTGCTGACACAATGAAATGCATTTTTACAGCCCAAGACATGAGTCATGACCCAGCCTGAGTTCAGAGCAGAGCATTTTTTAGGTACTTGTGACTCCAAAGAGGCTGGAGGGGAACCCTGGGCTTGAGATAGGATAGCATCATAACAGCAGAGTTTCCCCAGTCACTTTTCAAAATGCTTTTTCTCACCCATTTTGTGTGCTGGGACGTGAAGACTATTGTAGGACCTGTTCTGCCATGCCAGCATCAGCCTCTCTGAATTGCTGTGAGGATCAGATGAGTCCATCTTGCAGTCTCTTATCACCAGCAGCACAAATCCTATTTCATTCACTGCCAAAAAAAGAGACTCATCCAAAGGCGTTTGCCATCAGTCCCTCGGGGGCTCTGGAGCCATAAGTGGGATGCAATGAGCCCGGGGCCATCCCTGCTCTAGAAGGGCTCTGCCAGCGGGGATGCAGCTCAGGGTTCGCGGGTGAGCTGCTGCCCATGCAGCCCTGGCACAGCTCGGGGTCAGGCCCGCCGGGTGACAGCCCCTGACAGTCCCTGTGCCATGTCCCCAGGACAGCTCTGTCCTGGCACTAAGGGCTCAGTGCCCGCTGGGTGACAGCTCCTGATGGTCCCTGTGCTATGTCCCCCAGGACAGCTCTGTCCTGGCACAGCTCAGGCTCAGCACCCACCAGGTGACAGCCCCCGAGGGTCCCTGTGCCGTGTCCCCAGGACAGCTCTGTCCCCGTGGGAGCTGTGCCAGGGTGAGAGGGGCGATGCCGGGGGGCTGCCGCCTTTCACCCCCGTTATTAACGGCACCGCTCGGCACCGACGGGTTCTTCACAGCATGCCGGGCCCCCGGGCTGCCCTCGCTCGCTCCCGCCTGGTTAAATTTGGATTAAATCAGCGAAGCCAACACAGTGATCAATTCCCAGTGCTCTCCTCTGGAGCCGGGCACAAATGAGGGGAAAGCAGGGAGGAGAATAAAGCCCGGAGTGAGGGCACAGGGACCTGCAGGTACAGGAGGGATGTGAATGGAAACTCAAGTTTTCAGTGCCACCAGCTCAGCTGTGACTAGGCAGGCACAGCGACCCTAGGGACGCTTTTCTAGAAGCCATCATGCCAGATGATCTGGGCAGGGGCCTTTATGGGTGCTCAAGCCAGGATTTAGGTGAAAAATTGGCCAGCACAGAGGGCCATGCAGGCAGCAAGGGGACAGTTCAATCCCCTGCCTCCTCCCCATGGAACAGAGCCCGGTCACAGACACACAG